TAGGACATAGCAAGTCATAGACTTGGTATTAGGGATAGAAGCAGGATAGACACGGCGGGGACCGGAGCTAATTGGTTGACGGTAGGTCTGTTGTACCATAGACGTGGTCCTTGTAGCAAAGGGGTGAGGATGACACTCAGAGGCTTGAGCCTCGAATTAGTCACCCGGACGCAGATGAGGGCGAATATCGCTTCGAGTACGACAGATGTGGTGACAGGAGTCGAGTGAAATAGGTGAACAAGGGGTAGAGCAAACGGATTTTACGGATCAAAAGAGAGACTGAGATAAGGCTAGGGAAAAGGACTTAATAATAATAAAGTAGACTCTTATCAACATTCCCTGCACAAGGAAGAAGGGGGGTGATAACGATAGTTGGAGTGTGAAGGTGTCGTGTCGCCCAAAGGAGCACACCACACTATCTAAATAAACACGGTAAAAATTGTAATAGTGAAGGCATGATAGGATGCAACCGGAAATGCGAATAAGCCAGGGCAAAAGGGAAGATACCACAATTATTTAGCACAAGTCTGGTCAAAAGATCGGCTTCACTTGTCTCTGACGAGTTGTTGTGTGGTGCTAGGAATGGCGATACTCACTGACGATGCCAGCGAAACGTTTGGGAATGTACAACGTCCACGGTTCAACTATGGAAATGATCATGCAGACAATGGACTCCGGACTAGGTGTGTTCCAATAAGTCTTCCTACCAATATGATCATGTTGAGAAAACAAGGTCAAACAACCTCTGAACGGGAAGGTAGTCTATGTTAGTTTTCCCAGAGGAAACAAAGAGCTAACTTAATTTAGACAATAATCAAGCCAGAAATTGTTTTACCTTCTTTTCGCAACTTGGTCATATTAGCAGGAAGACCTAGAAGAACGCACTTTGTCCGGAGTCCATAGTATGCATGATAATTTCCAGAGTCGGACCATGGACGTGGTACATTCCCAGACATTTCGTCGTCATGCATACTATGGAATCCGGACAATATGCGTTCCTCAAGGTCTTCCTGCTACTATGAACAAGTTGCGAAAACAAAGTCAAACAACTTCTATACAACAAAAGAGAACGCGACCATACCAAAGGCCACGCCATCCTGCTCTTCATACCTTCGAATACTCAAGCCATTTAAAAAAATGTGTAAAGTCAACTTTTTAAATGAATTTATGTATGGTAAACTAAATGAGGAGAGAAGCATCACTAGTGCGGTTAAGATTACCGGGCGAGTAAGCTTGGCATCAGCAAGGGGGAAATGTTCTAAAGCGACTGTTAGATGAAAAAAAGACTCATAAATGCGAATAAAAAAAATGAGGACGGGCCATAGGATTCTGATAGAAGGCCCTGAAATTGTTGAGCTTATCTAATGAGAAACACAAAAAATAAATATTGATCCGTTTTTCCAAGAATAAAGTAGTTTCTGATAGATGAAGAGAAATTAGGCTTAACGAAAAAATTCACAATGATGGTTTATAGCTCGGAAGATGCCATGTGATGAAAATGTCAGCGCGGATTCATCGAGGTCGCAGGATGGTGAGTAAGGGTCTTTTTAGCACAATCCATCAGTTAAAACTCCAAGGCAATCCTCCTTTTGCTCTCGCTAAGACAAATTTGCGAATCTCTTTTTGAACGAAGGGAAATGAAGCCAACCGTTTTTTATAGGCCAAATGTATTTGAAGAACGCAACAAAAATGTCATTATGGTAGAATAGGGATTGCTGGAACTTCAAACCAAAAAGCGGTTTATTTACCTTATTTATTAGATATAAAATGAGTTTGACTCCAACTTATCCTTCCTGAAGGAAATTTATTGAATAAAAGAATAAATTGATTACCTATATATTAAAGATGGATAGAAGATACTAACTTTTGCTGTCTTGTCAATAGACCTTGAATCAATTCATCTAATAGCGAGTCACTCCAAAGCTGGCAAAGGCGATTAGTTCGCTCAACATCCGTCTCTGAAGACTCTTCAGCCCGCCGCTTAGCCCGTTCACGAGCAAGACGTTTTGCTTCGGCTTGATTTATCCGACGCTGTCGGGCCTCTTTAAGGCGACGACGCCTTCGCTGTTGTAGAATAATAAAATGGCCATGGCTATTGCCGACGTGAGATGATAAGAGATTTATGTAGAGGTTAGAGCCCTCGACCAAATCACGCAGATAATCCCTATAAATAAAAATTCTAATCATGGTCAAGTTGGTTAAGAGCAAAGCAAATGTGTCATTTATAAAAAGCGAATACTCAGCAGCGAAGTCGGACTAAAGCATTGTTGGCATTCACAGTGTTAGGCTTAGTGCGGCGAGAATTCAAACTTAAATGCCTTTTAAAAGAAGCAATATCTTGGGGCAAATCAAAGTTCGAGGTTGATGGATCAAGGGCAAAGAAAATATTGCAAATACAAAATATGATCAACTATAGCAGATGTATAATATTAATATTATAGACTG